CAGTTAATTCTGTTTACAATATTCAAATGTATCTAAAAACTCTTTATAAAACAATAGGCTCTCTCTCTCTCTCTCTCTTTCTACTAAAACAATTAATTAACAGACATTTTACCTTGATTTTTAATTAAAATATAATAAAAACAAGTTTTACATGTCTAACGTCTAGGTATTAGATTACAAGCACTTTTATTTTCATATCTATAAGCGTGTTGTTGTACAACGAATAATATTTCATTAAAAATTGAATAAAACATATTGTTTTTAGGCATTTATGGGTCAGAAAATGAAGATCCAGGGCAATTTGATGGCCGCGCATAAGTTCCAGCAATTCTGGGCCGAGGAGGCCCTACACGGCTCGCTCAGGCATCTCAATGAACGCCTAGCTCTGGGGGCCGGTAGTGATGGCAACAGTGGTTCGGCCGGCGGTGGCAGTGGTGGAGGCGGTGGACAACGAGAGGAGGCACTGTTGGCCAGTATACCAGTGGACGGTCTCAAGAGTGACATTGTGTTTAATACAATCCGGACCCGACTGTCCGAAGAGCCCGATCTCGTCAAAGCCATGCGATTTGTCATTCAATTCAATATCACTAGAAATGGCAAAGTAGTGGCCGTTTGGAGTAAGTCTTAACAATACTCACACTTTTCCCCCACTCTCTGATTGTGAACCAGACTTATTGTGTATACTCTTGTATTGCGTGTTGTTTAGTGACCTTTATTTTAGCATTAAATACACAATAGAGATGTAATCTGTAAAATCTGTGATGATAAAAGTGCTTTAAAAACATAAACCACAAGTGTGTGTGGGTTTTGGCGGTAGTCTAGCTATGGGTGGTCTGGCTATATGGCACAGGCAGGGGATTTGTCGGCTATTAACAGGGCATTGCCACCCCGGTGTATTACCTGTTAATAACCTGTCAATCAATCATATTTTCATAAAATAATATCTTATTTAATCATTTCATCAATCAATCAATAATGAGAGAGAGCCTATTGTTTTATAAAGAGTTTTTAGATACATTTGAATATTGTAAACAGAATTAACTGAACTTGTTGTTTATTTGTGTGGCCCCTAAACAGCCACGGATACAAAGGTGGACGGGGGAGAGGTGTACAGGAGTGCCCCTAAAGTCAAACCCGACGCCATCGTCAATGTGGACGACGAGAATTACGTGCGCATACTATTTGGTCAACTCAACCCTCAACGGGTCAGTACCCATCATTCACACAATGACCATGATCCTTTTCAATTATTTTCAATTAATATATAATACATAATTTGCATGACATGTCTGTCTGGACGACTACACCAGGCCTTTATGACGGGTAAGATTAGCGTTAAGGGCAACATATTGTTACTGCAAAAGTTGGACTCCTTCTGGAACCAAGTTCAGGGACAACGGAAGGACCCGGAGATGCCTCAAGTCAAAGACATTATGCTCAAAGATGTTAGTATATCTATCTAGTGTTTATAGTCTTGATTATATACTTTACTGTATTGTTTAGTTACCCTGTATTTAATGTTGTTTTGCACATTGTTTTGCAGCCAATGAAACCCGGCCTCAAGAGCGAAGTGATTATCTTCGATCTGATCCAGAAGTTGGTCCGTTTGCCGAATCTGTTGTCTGAAGGCTCGACAGTGCGGTTCGACATCAAAAAGGACGGACAGTTGGCCTCCAAATGGAGTCAGTATTTGATATACACTTGAAAACAATTNATCTGATCCAGAAGTTGGTCCGTTTGCCGAATCTGTTGTCTGAAGGCTCGACAGTGCGGTTCGACATCAAAAAGGACGGACAGTTGGCCTCCAAATGGAGTCAGTATTTGATATACACTTGAAAACAGTTGCGGTGTTTGTTTGGCACCACTAGATATTAGTGGTTAGACTATTAATATTAAATGCAATGCATGTGTTTGTTAAAGAGCTGTCGTTCCCGTCGGGTGCCAACGGCTTGGGAAGGATAGAGAGGGCCGACAACACCAGCGGTGCCGATGACAACACTCTGACCGTCGATGACAACGATTTTGTGCGCTTGACTTATAGCACACTCAAACTCGAAGATGTAATTATGAGTTTTAATAATTATAACTTTATATATCAATAACAGTAATGCACCTAGTACATTTGTACATGTAGCTATTAAATTTACATGTTAGTTTTACTAATAATTAGAAATTAATTTAAGTTTACAAATATTTGTACAACAGGAATCCTAGTTACTGTACTTCTAGTGTAGCTAGATATATGATATTAGTTCCATAATTTAAGCTAACAAAATATTTGATTTGAAATATTTTAAAGTGAAATTATATTTACCAAAAAAACATGTTTAATGTGTTTAAGATTTGAATTTTAAATTAACTCTATATTGACGTAGAGTTAGGCAAAGAAAGTAATGGTTTTTACACGAGAAACACATTTTTAAAATATCAAATAATTAGTTATTTTGATTTTAGGCCATTATTTCCTCCTTATATAAATTTTACAGTAATTTTAAAATTACCGTAATACCTGGGATTTTATTGCATGCAATATAATGTCAATTTCAGTAAAGGGGTGCAATATTATCTAGATTATATTGCACCTGATTTTAGCCCCATTTTAAAATTTGTCAAAAATTACCACAAATATTTAAGTATTTAAACAAATTTAGTTTTGCATATAAAATGTGTAGACTTTTACCTAAATAGTAAAGTTTTAAAGTCACAATTTCCTGTCAAACACTATTTAAAGACAATAAAATGTCTGAGAATCTAGAATTCAACGAATGTAGACACAAATGAAATGATAGACATAGTTATGAGTGAAGATATGTGTGACAGGTAATTGAATTTAATATGAATTAGGGGTAAAATAAAATCCAGAAATACATTAGACTATTAATTCAATGGTATCTAATAATGATAGTCTATCTAAACCGTCGGGTCTGACTGACGACTTTACCTAAACGCGAAATTTTATAGATTTTATCATAGATTTTATAGAATATTTATCTAAAAATAATTATTGATTAATTCTTAATTAAACTATTATTTAAATGCTGTAAATTAGTCAATACTGTAATATATTTACAATGTGCATGAATTTGAGATAATATTGCATGCAATATTATGTCAATTTTAGCCAAGGGGTGCAATATTACCTAGATAATATTGCATATGATTATGAAAAACACCATTTTACTGATATTGACTTTATATTGCATGCAATAAAATCCCAGGTATTACGGTAAATAAAATAACGATTATATTTATACATAACTATTAATTTAATATATAATTAGGCGATAGCGTCCGGTCGTGTGAAATACAGTGGCGATCCCTCATCGGTGGCCAAACTGAGCAAAATGTTCAACACATCCATAATTAAAGCCAAATTATAGACTCAATTATTATAATTACTAAAGCGATTTACCAAAACTGATCCTGATCAATTCAATAAGTCATTTCAATAATTTTGTTTTAGTTGTTGTAATTATTTGTTGTTTTAATTATATTATTTTGTTTTACTCAGAACTCAACAAAAAAACTATTGTTTTACAAATTATACGATAAATCAAATAGTCTTAAATTAATAGTGTTTTTATTGTTTTATAATTAATAACATTGTTAATTGTTATAAAGTAACAATTTTTCTATATTTATATGTATTTTATAATTAATAATTTTATTAATAATAAAAGAAATAAATTTGTAATCGATTTTAAAAGTAAATGATAAATTACTTGTTTTCAAAACTTAACTCGTGTTTTAGAGTTTGCTTTTGAGCTGATTTTTGAAGCAAAGTTCGCAAAACTGGTGACTTTCACGGGACGGATGATCGCATACGTGGACACCATTATCATCGGTTGTCATCTCGGGTGTGGTTACCATCAGATCGGACACCAGTATGTGATGGCCCTCATCGACCACCTGCTGATCTAAGCCATGTTTACGTACAACAAATGTTACGCAATCGCCAGCATTTAGATGAATACTTTTAGTCCTAATTATATCACAAAAAGTAATCATGGTAATTTATTTAACCATAATTAAGTTCAATACTTGTTGACGCGTTTATTGCGGCGAAAGACCAGTGCTTTAACCGCTCGGACGGCGCGATCCGATACCGTCTTTTTGATGTTAGTCTTTACTAAATCTAAACTAAATTTCACACAATTTGACAGCAATTGGTCGGTGTTTATATTAAAATACATGGTCAATGTTTTTCACTATTGGTTAGCGTATAATCCAACACATCCTCGATTGCGAGCATAATGAAAGTTATCATATATTATATCATAAATATTATTCAAATATAATGACTTTAATGACTTAATATTGGATTTTCCGGACGTCTAATTCACCACATTTTTATGACTATTATTTTTACACAATATTTAAATTTTACATTTTTAATACTTGTAAACACAAATTTCCGCACAATTTGCCAAACATTAAAAACATAACGATTCCAACAGTAAGAGCACAGTTGGCATCGATTTAAATGCGAGTGTTTATCACAATTTTATTAACAATAAGACATTAAATATACAAAAATAATTTCTATAACGGGAAATAAATTAATTGAGAAAAATAATCATAATTCATTTGAGGGGCTGAGAGAGTGAAGTTTGGTGCACTTTAGCCATATGTCTCTCGAGAGCCTCTTTATAAGTGCACCCGAAGTCACATCCGGGCCAATGGCACTTGTAGTCAATCTTACCCTGGTGTTGGCGCCGCTCATGACTGCCCAACGTATTAATGTTAAGGAAAGTACTGTCACATCCGGGCCAATGACAGCGGTACACCTTTTCCAAGGTATGAGTGTTGAGGTGCGCCTTACAGGCGTGGTCAG